ACTTTTTTTGTTTCTCTCGTTGTCTGCAAATAATAATCTCATTTCTGTGCACATCAAGGATGAATGTGCGTGCTCATAACTGTATGTATATTCTCTCTGCATGTGTCTGTGCGTTGATCCAGACTGAGGCTCCCTCTGGGGTCCTCAGAGCTCTCGTCCAGCTCTGTTTCTCATTAGGCATCTGTCATGGTGCCAGAATCAATAAGCACAGATGGAAGAAAAAAAATCTCTCCTCTCTTCTTTGTGAATGGGCAGATCATTAGCAAATTCCAAAGTGTTTACCATCATCACCAAGGAAAGACCCTCCTCAACTTTACTGTACTTTTAGTAATTTGTACCGCTATTATTTCCTTTATGACCAACAGTTAAAAACCCTCCTCCTCTCTACAAAGTCATGTGAAATCATATGCTCCAGTTGTGTTTGGCTTTGCAGGATTGTGTACTCAATCAACAATCCCGGACGCAGATGAAAATATTTAGTTGTGGGTTTCTTTCTGTCTTTCCCTCTTCTGCCCCCCTTTGTGTCTTAAGATGACGCATCTGTTTCCATACATTGTTGCATGTTTTCTGGCAAAGACAAACAGCATAGTTTAAACAAAGAAGTGGGTGGTGTGTGTTCATCTGGTGTGTGTGTGCGTGCCACCAGGACTACATTAAATAAAAGGGAGAAAGGATGACAGCATCCAACCTCAGTTTGTCATCCTTAGTGTAAACGGCTGTACATCATGCTAACATCTTACATGTGCTCGGCCCAATCACAGCAGTCACACACAGCCGTGTCAACACAGCAGTAATGAAAACAAAAGAACTGGAAAGAGGCAGATGGGAGGGAGTCGGATAGAAACAAAGGCAGATGGAAAGTAAAGAAAAAGTTAAAGAGAGAATTTGAATGGAAGCATAATATAAGCGCGGTGGCTGGAAAGAGAGAAGCCGAGGGCAGGATAAATGCTTCCAGTATAAGCGGAAGAGGAGTGATTATGACATGGCTTGGCATCGCTCCGTAGCACTCGTCTGTAACACAAAGAAAGAGTGGGTGGGTTTTCCACCTCCACAGAATAAATGATGCGAGGGGAAATGGGAGTAAACAACATCAGTCATTATAATTACTCTCATACGGCTACTCCCATCCACCATCAACCATCCTCCAGCCCCCCTTCACTCTCTTCCTTCTGCCATTTTCCATCTGTCTTTACTCCCAAACTTTTTTCTGCCTTAATTACACCTTTTACTTTATTTTCTCTCGCTCACTTTCTCTAACTATTAAACTAATGCAAAACATTTTTCCTCTTTTCTAACTATATCCATTCTGCCCGCTTGTTTCAGACCTTAGATCTCAAGTAGGGTGGTCTGAATCTCCAATGCACAAAATGAATATGAGACTGTGAAAGTTGGAGAAATATACTACAAATGACAGGATTTAGTTAAGAATGTTGTCTGAATGCAGTGACAACAGCCAACAGTAATAATAATCTTGGCAAATTTCTGGAGCTTTTTACTGCAGACTTTGAGAGATACGATCTTTGGCTCTAGCAGCAGAAGCCTTTGAGCAGTGCTGAATGCATAGTGAATCATGTCATCTGTTTCTAAGAATTGGATGTGGTTCCCTCGCCGTCTTGGACCTCTGCACTGTTCTGTTTCCCTCTCTCTGCAGGATTCCTGGAGAGCTGTAGTTCTGTGCAAGAAATTGAGATAAAAAAAAGATTGTGTAAAAAAACATGTGTGAATAGAATAATAATTGGTTAGGTAAGAAAATCTGATCTAAAATGTTTTACATCCATTTCTATATAAAAACAAACTAAAACACAGCTGACATGCTCAGAATTTGTATCCTGGCCATGCATCCCTGCAATCCAATGTGTCAAATGCCGAGCATATTTCTCACATGTCATTCTCATAAGGGCTCATTTCTTGTTATTCACGACAGCAGCCTGCAGAACTGTGCTTCAACGCTGAGATTATGTAAGTCTGGCCACTGGGGACTTCGACCTCACATTCTTCTGGATCAGTCTTGTAGGAAGGACGCACTCCCTCTGTGGGAGATAAAGCAGCCAGCCAAGTCAAACTGGTCCCAGGGTGAGACTGAACACTAGGCCCAAACCCACCCAAAACCACCCACCTTGAGACTGCTGACGGAATAGAAGAGACTATCTAACGTTAGAACCTTTGTGACGGCATGCCGTGATAGTTTGTATTACTGTGCTTCCTTCAAAGGACATTGTCTATAAGCTAATTCACAGAAAAATCTAAAGACAAACAAACACTGTTGTATCTGTTTGTCATCTTCAGAGTAATACCTGCAAAGTACCTACAAACACATATTTTACGAACTAACATGTGTAATCTTGTTTGTCTCAGAATCAAAAACATAAAAAAAGCAAGTTGTAGATTATTTTAGGCTACCATTCCTGTCTTTAGCTTATGCGAGGCTAAGCCATATGTCGTCGTTAATCAATGAATAAACTAAAATAGAAAAATGATAAGTTATATTTAAAAAAAAGAATCTTGCAAAGGTCTACAGTACTATTTTGCACACATATTGTTGGACACACACACACACACACACAGAGAGACGCGAGGGAGGAGAGAGAGTAGACACTTATATATTAGGAGTTCATATCTATTCTATAATAGAATAGAGACATCGATATGCCAATCGATCTCAGAGCTCGCTATCTCTCTCTCTATATCTGCTCTATCGATGAGATAGTCTTGATTTCGCGAGAGACAGCAAAAAAGTTAATGGTTTTCAAGGTGTCTGTGAGGCCTCAAAGGTAACCCCTTCCCCTGGAGTTGTATCAAAACACCATGTGATGCTTCCTGCAGATTTATTGTTAAACTATAAGTTGTATAGAATGTGAAAATCTGGCTCTGGATCTGGCAGGAGTGAATGGTAGTGTTTGCGTGTGTCCTATTCAGTCATGTCAACAGAGCAATCATTCATGTAGACGAGAGTATAAACTCAGAGGGTTTATGTCTGCTGGCAGGTGATGATGGACATGCCTTTCAGGGAAAAGTGAGGGATGGAAAGAGGGAGAAGGAGGGCCAGATGGATGAAAAAGAGGACTGGAATAGAGTAGTCAATGATACCAATTTGTATTTTTTCCTTTGGCATGTAGGTTTGAGATATGAAAGACAAGGAAAATAATAAAACAATGATTGAAGAATGAGGAAAAAGCTTTGTTGTGCAGTATATGTCCGCTCCATTGTTTGCCATTCTGGGCAGAGAGCCATGGCAGAACAGTTCATAAGTTTGGGAGAGAAGGAACTTCTTAATTGCTTCCTCTCACTTCCTCTTTAGCCCTCCCTCCGTCCAACTCTCTCTCTCCAACCCCTTTCTGTTGCCTTAAAGGACAGGTACAGGAAACACTCATTCATTAACAACCTGGAGCTTGTTAGCTTCAATAAAGCACTCTTCACAAAATGTGCTGTTCCACCTCTGAGGGCATCTCTGAGTGTTTGTGGTGGGAAGTGTAGAGGTGAGGTGGACTAAAGGGTAAGGCAGGGCCAGAGGAGGGAGGGGAGGGACGGGGGTTGGTTTGTTGACCTGGGGTCCTCAAGCAAAAGAGGGGAGTGCTGGTGAAAGACACATTAACAACAATAGATCTCAATGAAGCATGTAACTTACAAATAACCCTGGGATTAGTCACATATATTTCTCCTTTCAACACATTTTCACATACTCTTCTTGATTAACGCTAATCCACAGAGGTTTACTTTTAATTTGTGTGGAAATATGAGTGCTTTAGCACTAAAAACAGCTTTTAAAGAGTCTTTATGCACCCATAGATAGTTAAATAAAAATCCAACAAAAACCTGAATTTGCTTTTTGACTGCCACTTTTTGATTGGCACTGGGTACATTGGGAACCACCTGCATTAGTCTCTACATTTTCGCCACATCTGCTCATCAGGTGAAAGACAAATATGTCAAGCCCAGTTAGAAAAGTTCAAAACATTGCAGACAACATACTGCCACCCAGCTTTCCAAACACACCCTATCATTTGGAAAATGTTGGCTTGTGTTTTTTTGCACTGGTTGGAGTGGACAACACTCAGCAGAATAGTGCGCCTTTATTGCCTTTAAAAGATAATAACATGCCTACTGCCTGCCTCCAACCGCTGAACCAGGGTCAGTGAGTTCGACAGCTTCCTGAGGTTCAGGTTGAAATTGTGGCTTGGGAAAACTGGTCCTCTATTTGTAGTTAGAAACAACAGAAAGACCACAGGTGAATATTTGCCCAACACAGTCTGCCTATATTGGTAAGAATGTTATTGTCATGTTGTAATGTTTAATTGTATTTTGATCTAAATGTTTAAGTTGCATGTTTTAACGTGAAAAACTTTGTCTCAAGTTTGAGAATAAATGGCTGCCACCCATGCAGTTGACAAGGTGCGAGAGGGAGACTCTCTCACCATCAGTGCAGCAAGCTCAAGGCCACATGCCCTTTTTCATTACTCCGAACAGGCCAGCTGTATTGTAACTACAACCAATTTCCTTGCAGTCTATAAAGCTGTCAATCAAAATCATACAGAACAGGGAGTGGAGGTGGGGGGTGTAGGGGCGGAGCTGGGTGGGCTGTTGGGGAGGGCTGCAGGGCTCCAGACCAGATGTCAGAGTTTTACACTGCAGAGGGAGGGAGGAGGGGAGGTCATGTTTACCTGTAGCTAATATAAGCTTAATAGGGAATAGCAGGAATATTTTGACTTGCGTGGGTGTTTGTATCGTCTGCCTGTCACTAAAAACACTTATTTCAATATATAATTAACGGAATTGTATGGAATTTCTGGGAAACCATATTCACTTTTGCACTTAGTAACATTAGAAGACAGAATGGTGAATATGAATACGGTAGAGAGAAAGGAGAGAGTGAATTGGTGTTTTTTTTTTTTACCATAACCTCATTCTATTCCTTGAAGCACCTTTTCAAAACAATCAACTCAGTCAGGCCAAAGCAATATTTTTAAGTTTCCATTTATTAAAGTTATGAACAAAGAGACAAATAAGTTATAATATTTTTATTTGTTAGAATTCTATCAGTGTTTGAACATTAATATTTAGAGAGCTAGTACAATTGTCTACTTTCATGGCTAGCCTTTGACAAACCCATAGAAACAGCTGTCTCTCTCCTAGGATCGGAACATAATACTGAAGGGGAGGTGTCAATGTCGTCTCACAAGACAGTTAGCAGTGAAAGTGTGCACCTTAAGGTTTTTTTCTGTTATGGTATATCATTACATATAAACTCTTTAAAAATATACTTCTGTCAAATACCTTGACAACTACTATGTACACTACAAAAATAAATTTTCATATAAATAAATTATATGGCATACATTTATCTTTGTAACTGAAAACAGCTTACATCCACGCCAACCGAGACCAAAATGGCAGTCTGGAAGAACCACTGATTTTGTTTTCCTTTTAAAATCCTCTAAGAGCTATGATGAGACCTGTAGTGTAAAATGTTATATACTCTTTTTTTCCTATTTAACATTAGTAAGCACTTTATACAGATCAAACTCCATTAATGTAAAAACATTAAACTGTAATAGTGTTTTATCAATAATAATAAAAAAAAAAATCCCTGCATTTGTTATCCACTGGCTTCAAGACAATAATGAAAGAAAAAACAACATATTTTATATTACAAAAATATAAATATCGCATTTGAATGTTGAGAACAAAAACAAACAAAAAACATAAAAAAATGAATAAAATAGTTGCCAGCTATGATTCTCTCCACTACTGCCAATGTGACATTGGGAGAAAACAAAAAACAAACAAACAGAACAACCTATTTCATGCAAGCAGCTGACATAACATGGACAGAAAACTGCAAAGACTTCTGGGGAGAGCTACACATGTTCAACAGGAAGTAAGAGTGTAAAAAAGTGGAAGAAAACTGAGGTGTGGTTGGGGTGAGTGACTGGGTCAAAGGGGCCTGGGTCTGGAACTGAGGGAGGGTTTTGGGGGGGAGGCGCAGGCAAATATGCACGCTGACATGGCCCTGCAGATATAAACTGGTCATTGCTGGGGAGGGGGGGGGGGGGCTGGCAGTGTCAACTTTGACCCGTGAGGCTCTGGGCTGTGCCATTTGGCAGTTGTGGGGGGACGTCCAATTAGTGTCATGACATTATGTTGTGGAATTTTATTAGCTGAGGTCAGTGGGGACGGCTGATGCCAAATTAGGGCCAGTTGTTTCTACTGTCAATAAAGGAGAGCTGAGGCAGACTGAGAGGATGTACCAACACACACACGCACATAAATTATTTAGACATGTATACATTGAGACACACATAGACCACATAGTCAGGCCATATAAGGCTTATCCCGTAGCAGGCTGTGTGGGCTAGCTTATTGGTTGGATAGTAAAAAAGAAAGATACTTGAAGCAAGATATTGCTGTGAATGAAGTTTGAGTGCAGTCAAGTGCCATGTTGAATCAGGTTGTACAGTATACAGTCAGAGCTTTAGCTTATCCACTTGACACAGAGTTAGAGCCCTGTGTTGACCCTGTTCCAGAATCAGTAATGTGAAGGTCCCTGTAATGGGAGAGTGAGTCTTTGAGGTGGGTTTACTGCTTGTACAAGACAGAAACAGTTTTGAGCCTGCTAGGGTTAAACAATATATAGCCTCGTACAGTAAGACACAACCAGAGAGCAACCTCACAGACAGTGATACAAAGCTGAGAGCAGAAACAGGTTCCAATGCAGAGGCAATGACTAAAAGAACAGAACAAAACCAAAAAACAGCTTTTTAAATGTCTTCATATCTGCTCGTCTTAAATAGCACGCATAGCGTGTCAAGTTAAACAGTAATTGTTTCATAACTACCACAGGTTTGTGATAAAAAATTAATAGTTTAACATGCGTACCTTTATACAATAACCGCACACACACATAAACACACACACACATATATACCATAGCCCTGTTTGATAATTCTAACAATTTCCCTCATTAAAATGAGTGTAAATGTTAGCCTGTTCTGAGGATGTGTCTGATTTATAAGCCAGAAGATAATGGAGCAGTTTCACAACACACACACACACACACACACACACACACACACACACACCACACACACACACACACACACACACACACACACACACACACACACACACACACACACACACACACACACACACACACACACACACACACACACACACACACACACACACACACACACACACACACACACACACACACACACACACACACACACACACACACACACACACACACACACACACACACACACACACACACACAACTTCTTTTGTTTAAAGAGACATTTGCATAGAGTTATACATGTATATTATTTAAAAAAATATTTTGAGCAGCAACAGTGAATGCTGACAGGTATTTTTGTCTAGATGAAGCTTCCTAATGGCACAGATCCACAGATGAGTGAGCAGTAATAAGATATCTATCACTAACTCTCATACACACGTACACATTTACACAAACACACTCACAAACCATATAAAATGGCAGCCCCAGTCTGTTAACATGAGGAGTTGTACAGCTCCTAAAATTATAGCTACTTTCTGTTCATATTTACATATGTATACAACTTTTAAATATAGATAGAAATATCTAAGAAAATAGTCCACTGGGTTACAGTAAGAATGAGCACCATGACGGCAACACTGGCGAGTTTCGGACTGGGCTTTCCTGCGCCAGACCGAGTCAGCTGCTAGGTAATAGGGAGGAGTCCATCTTTGGCCGTTGTACTTGCGTTCTCCATAACTGAAATGAAAAGGAAGAATTGTTTTTCAGTGCTTTATGATAAACAGACTTTTTTAAAAGGGCAGTTTGAATACGTATTTACGGAAGTAGTTTAAAGCTCACCTCAGCTTGTCCGTCTGCCATTGTTGCTCTCAGCTGCCTCAAACTCCAAATCTTGAAGCTCCATGGACTCCATGTAGGCCCCCCTAGCCCCTGTGTGAGTGTCCAGTGGCACATGAGGGTCCTGGAAGACAGGCTCTGTCCCCTGATCTCCTGATTGGCAGTAACTGTCTGTTGTTGTGTATCCTGGGTAAGAGGAAGCTGGGGGGCCCTGGTTGGACAAGGGGGCTGGGTGAACAGCAACAGTGACGGAGGCTGATGCTGTTACCGTGGTGATGGGTTGACAATAAGGGGTAGGGTTTGGGTGATGGTGCGGGAGGTGGTGATTAGGTTGTGGGTTGTGGGAAGAGCGGGCCCTGTGGCCTGCTGAGTGTTCTCTATGACCATGTGAGCCATGATGGCCCCCAGCCTCAGTAGCAGTTTCAAAAGCGTCCATGCGCGGGCGGGCTGGGGGCGGGGCCTGCCGGTGCGGCTGGCTCTTGGGGTCCCTGCTGCTGTTACGCTGAGGAGCCGCTGGCTGGGGCCCAGAATTACAACCCTGAGAGGACTGTAATATAAGACAACAACATATTTATTGCTAAAATGCTACTAACAGGAATGAGAGAAGTATAGATGCCACACAAAGGGGGATATTGCTTACCAAAGACACATTATAGCCAGGAGGGTCAGGCTGCCTGGCTGTGCGCCTGTTCCCTGATCTCCTGTGCTCCTCTGTCCTGGCTGCTCTGCCCCTGCTGATCTGGAGGTGGTACTGCTGCTCCTCTGCTCGAGTGTGTCCCCTGTGGGAGGGCAGGTTGTAGTTCTGCAGCTCCTGGCTTATACCAGACACTGTGGTGTTAGAGCTGTACTCCGAGTCCGACGAGTCTGAAGCTGCACCAGAGGTGGGCGTGGCTATGGTGGTGTTGTGAGGACGGACCGAGAAGTGGACCACGTGAGGAGGTGTCTCAGGTGATGGGGTGGGTAACTGACTACGACCATCGATTGGGGTCACCTGAGATGTGAGAATAGAGGAGTGAGTATTCCACACTTTTCAATGAAAAAAAAAATCACTTTTTCTAGTCAACTAAGATGACATTTTCTTGCAATTGCGTTTTAAAGGATCGTACCTCTGGATAGGGCCCAAAGTATGACAGTAATACTGGAAGAAGGACCAATCCATTCAGTACTCCAAGAACTGTGAGAATGGCCAACACTGCGAAGAAATACCTGGAACAAACACACAAAGGAAGTTTAACATCAGGAATAATTTCACAAAGTGCAACAAGTGAGGATAAAACTCACTTCAGACCACTTCAAAGTTGTGTGACTGGAACAAAAAACAAAACCCAGATAGTCCTAGGCCAACACAGACAGACCAGAAAAGGAGGCGAAGAAACAATGAAAATACCTGTGCAAACCACAAATGTTAAGACATGGGGAGACATGTGCAAGATCAACCAGTACACATGCCCGAGATAATACTTCCACAAAGACACCCGGCCACTCCCCAAGCACCCCCCCACAGACAGGCAGGCATGCACTGTGGTTTTGAGGAGCAGAACAGAAATGTACCTTGTGTGTTTCTAAGTCCTGCCAAAGATGGTTAGTCTTAAAGAAGCCACAGAGAAAAAAGAAAGGGGAAGCATAATTAGCCAGAGCTGGTTAATTCAAAGGCATTGGAGGAAAGAAAAAAAAAGAAAGGAGGGGGGGGGGTATTGGGGGTAAGGGTACTCTCTCTTGGGTGTGTGGTATATTAGCAAACATGGAGAAAACAAAGCAGTGAGGAATGTGAGGGGAGGGGTTAAGGGGTAAGGGGAGGGTAAAAAGGGGGAAGGAGAGGAGGGGGCGGGTGAGGGGAACCTAGGGGGCTGGGGGGGCACGAGAGGCAAGAGGACAGGGGCCACTCTCTGCTCTTCGGCTCTAAACAAGAGAGGGAGAAACAAACAAATGGAGTGAAGGGTACAAATGTAAACAATTTAGTCTAGGAAGGAGAGAAGGGGACCCTCAGAGCGCCACCCCTCCCTGGTCTCTCCCCCTCTTTTATTTATTTCTCTCTCTTTTCTGCCTCACTTCCCTCTCCCTCCTTTCCAGCTAAGCCCCTGTGAAATTCCCGGCCACTCCACAATCCCCTCTGTCTAATTAAATCTCCAATGTATCAGGTAAGACCCCCCAAACTCCACTCTAAATCCCCCTCTCTCTCCCACACCAATCCTGCTCCCTTCATTAGGGAAGGCTTTCCACCTCACCCGATTCTCCACTGAAAGCTCTCAGGTTATCAGGGACACACTGATGAATCATGACCCCCCCTGTCCTAACCCTTAACTATGCTTTGTGTGTGTGTGTGTGTGTGTGTGTGTGTGTGTGTGTGTGTGTGTGTGTGTGTGTGTGTGTGTGTGTGTGTGTGTGTGTGTGTGTATGTGTGCGAGGTGGGGAGGCTTAAGTGGACTAACTGAGGTGTAGATGCGCTTGAATGCTGTGCAGCTGGGCCTTAAACTAAACGCACATTCATAACTAATGGGTGTGTGTTCATTTCAATATGTGTTGATTCTGTGTGTGTGTGTGTGTGTGTGTGTGTGTGTGTGTGTGTGTGTGTGTGTGTGTGTGTGTGTGTGTGTGTGTGTGTGTGTGTGTGCAGAAAGATAGGTATTGTACGGAGGCTTGACAAGTGAGGAGAGCTGGTTCTTGTCTACCCTGCATGGGTGGCCTCACCTTCACAATATTTATACAGCGAGCCAGACTGAATAATGATGGAAACGTACTTAATATGCTAAATGTCTTCAAGATAATGTGAGAGGGGTGGTATGGACACATACTTATGAACTAGTTTATACAAAAAAAGACCATAATGCATCCTTATATGTAATTTATAAGATCTAGTCTGTGGTGTTTTATATTTTTTATATACTGCAATTTCATCGCATAATCAGTTTTATGCTACAGGTATCTCTCTCATTTTCTCACTTCAATTGACTCTCAAAGTGTAGTAGTCAGGATAAAAAGTCTGAGCAGAGCCAGATCTAGCCTTCTTTTCACCTGGTAAAATACTTCCCATGTTGAGCCTGCAAACATCAGACCGGCTAGAGTCATTTCTATTCGATGTTGGTCTAGGAAGTGTTCCTGAGGACAGGACTGCATGCTGTGAGTCACGGTGTTAACCCAACAGCACATTGGACACAGAACTAATCTAACAATATGTATTAATGGCAGGATACTTTGAAAAACATTTTCTGAATCAGGTTTGTTCCAAGTTTTTTTTAATGCATTGCTTCTTGTACATAATTGGTAGATAGGATAAGTCGTTACTTATAAAGGAAAGTTTGATTCAAACTTGGTTATTTCCTGCATCATGTCTTGGTTATTTCCTTCATTGACAGAAAGTTCTCCAATTGTAGGGAGCTTGTGCCCACATTTCCTTTTCAACTAAAGTTTTTGGGATCACGCCAAATAACATTTCCAACTTGGAATCCTTAATTGTAAATGAGCAAAGTAAGTACCTGTGATTGAAGTTTTTACTTGGTCTCTGGTAAAGTTTTTCTGATACACATCATATAGTATGTGCACTAAACAGTATGTAAAGCCCACCCAACTTTCCTTTAACTGCTTTATTAGATCAACAGAACAGTTTCTGTATGTGGAACTGAAATAACTCTTTCATCGCTATGGTAAGCGTATATATACACACGAGAAGAGGTAAGCGCCACGTCACCTTCAGATCCCCACACACACACACACACACACACACACACACACACACACACACACACACACACACACACACACACACACACACACACACACACACACACACACAACACACACACACACACACACACACACACACACACACACACACACACACACACACACACACACCACACACACACACACACACACACACACACACACACACACACCACACACACACACACACCACACACACACACCACACACACACACACACACACACACCACACACACACACACACACACACACACACACACACAGTTTTGGAGTAAAAACATTCACAGGGCTGATGGGGAAAGCCAGGGAAACATTTATTTCGGCGCAAGCTAAAAAATACGAGCTGGGCCTGTTGTTATTGCATCGTCTTGGGACTCTGCTTTGTTTGCTCAGACAACAGCAGAACCTTTAAATGGAGGCCCGGGACTGAGCCAGAAACCAGAGCACACCACTGGTGGTAAGGAGAGCAGGTCTGTAGGCCTCCTGTGTTTGTGTGTGTATGTTTGTGTGTGTCTCTCAGAGTGTGTATCTGTGTGTGCTCTCACTGGCAGGCACGCCATCATTGACCCTCATGAGTACAAGGTCAGGAAGCAGGTTGGTCTCTGTGTGTGTGTGTGGCCTAGCATTACTATACTTGTGGGGACCTAAATCTGTTTACACAGTCACGTGTGGGGACTCGCCTCCCTTATGGGGACAAATTGGAGGTCCCCATGAGGGGAATCATTCATTTTAGGGTGAAGACTTGGTTAGGATTAGGGTTAGGGTAAGGGTTAGGGTTAGGCAAGTGTTGGTTATGGTTAAGGTTAGGATAAGTCTCCAGGAAATGCATGTAAGTCAATGTAATGTCCCCTGAAGGGATGTATACATGGTATGTGTGTGTGTATGTGTGTGTGTGTGTGTGTGTGTGTGTGTGTGTGTGTGTGTGTGTGTGTGTGTATGATGGGGACTATGTGTAATTGTGTGGGTGTGCATGGATAAGTGCAGGCCTGTGCAGATGATAGAGTGCATGCTTGCCGATCACATGGACTTCAGTGCGCCCTTTTCTTAAAGGAGCAGGTCAACCAAAGTATACAGCTACCTCAGTTACTTTAAATTATTCAGTGAGCTCACTGGTGCAACAGCTTGCACCCACAAAAAGGAGCAAATGAACCAGAGCCCCCAGAGTGTTTCGGTTTTAATTTCCACTTTTCCTGTCTTTCCACAACGGCCCTCTTGCCCCCCAACCCGTAACTCCTTCCCATGCTTATAAATGTCTAGCGAGGGCAGTTAAACTAGCTGGAGATTACAAAGGCCAGAGAACCTTCCTGCTCTCTCTCTCACTCCCTCTCTTTCCCTGTCGCTCTCTCCGACCATCACTCTCTTTTACTTTGTTTGCTACTGAATCACCGTCTACTCTCCCCTAGACTGTCTCCGCCTACTTCTCCTGACCTTCAACTCTCCATCCATCCCCTGGTTTCCCCTAACATCTCAGGCATGAGAGACACTGAGGGGGGGAGGAGGATGAAAGAAAAACCACGAGGGGAGAGGTGGGTGGAGAAAGACAAAGGCCTTGTTTATTAAGTTTCATGGAGCAAGCCCCCAGAAATTGAGAGAAAAGCAGGTATGTCACTGGTAGCTGGCAAAGGGATGAGGTCTACAGAAAGGGAGTATGAAAGGGAGATGCGGGTGGAAGACGAGAAAGAGATTGAGGGAGGGAGTGGGGGAAGAAGAAAGCTAAGAGTCTTCATGCATGATTGGTGGCTCAGGTAGATCCTGTGTGACACACAGGTTGAGACATGGTCTCAACGGTCGACTGACGCAACATAGCGTACGATAACCTTTGTACCTGCTTTAATATTCGACTTAATGAATGTCGCAATTCCTCATAAGGTTGATTCTTGTACCCACCTGACAATAAAGTCGAACTCAGAGCCCGCAAGCAACAGGACACCTAATAAGGTAGAAAAGGCTCCGTCGAGCACCGGAGCAAACATGTGCTCCAGAGCCAGCACGGCCCGCTTGTGACGATCCCCTATGGCTGTCAGGAAAGCCTGCAACACATAAACAGAAGCAGATATTAGTTCTTGTGTGTCACTGTTTTGAAAACCATTTTTAAAAAACTTGCTTTTTGTTCATGTTGAAATAGTTTGATTATGTTTATGCCAGCCTACCAGAGCCACATGGACGGTGAACTCCACTCCAATGCCCACAGAGGCGATGAGAATGACAACAGGGACAGCACTCAGCTTGATTCCCATCAGCCCCATGAAGCCAAACAGCTCCACAGTCATAAGAGAAAGCACCAACACCTAAAAGGGAGAGGAGGAGCTTCTGTTAGATGGGAAGGTGCTTAATGAATATATAAAGTGTAATCACATTTAAAAGGGCAGATTTAGGTTGAATGGGGGAATATGCCAGAAATAAAATATCCCAAAAATTATAATTGATTTGTAATCTCAGAGTTTCTAGTTGTACTATTTCTTAAGGAAACATATATTTTGATCTGTATAAACCACTCTTTGCAGGTATTTTTATTTTCATGTACATCTGTATTGTTTTAAGAGATTTAAATGGTTTCTCTAAGTTTGTCAGGTTACAAATGTAATTGTATCTTCTGTGTAAGTCCAAAAGATAATAATAATACCTTATATCTAAAGCGGTAAGAAATGTATTATTATAATGCACAAATACCCGGGTAAAAAAGTAGAAAAATGTACACAAGCATAAAGTTAAAAATGACCATAAATGGAAATAATCTTCTACTTTATTGTTGTATGATTAACAAACAATTATTAATTGCACGTGCTGTGTGAATTTACAGCTCATCTGGACTTTGATTGTATACAAAACAGACAGGGGTCAATAATGCACCTGGATGATGTGAGGATCTCTATCATTTGTATTTGTTAAGTAATTCCCATACATATTTTATATTCCCATACGTATTTATAAGAAGACGAGCCTCCGGAAGCTCCAGGTTGCATATAATGACTGTTTGCGTATACTACTGCTTAGAAAACCAAGGTGATGCAGTGCAAGTGAAATGTTCTGTAATGCACGAGTCAACACGTTCCATGCTCTTTTGAGAAATCTGATGTACAAATTCATCTGTCGATTGAATGTTTCTCATAACTCTGTCATTATGCTGCTGTCAAATCCGTGTTTCAGTGCTGTCCGATACCAGTCACCTCTGTGGAAACATTGGTATAACTGCCTTTTTTACATTTATATTTGAGTGTAAAAGGCAAAAGGTGTGTGTGTTGCCTTGAGTGTGTAAAGGCTTCAATGCAAAGTGGGACAGGAGCTGGGAGTAAATGCCATTATCAGCTGACAGGTGTCAGGTTACATGGGGCCCAAATCCTTTGAAGAAGGCTGAGGTGAGCAGGGGAGGGAGCTGTGTAGCTGTAGGTGCCTTTAGTGAGCCACCACAGTCTGTGCATGTGTGTCCAGGAGGGGGTGTTTGTGTGTGTGTGTCTAACTTTGTTTAGACTTTAGTGAATCTTTAGTGATGCGATCAAAAGTGGACAGCAATATAAAATGTTTGGTCAGGATTCCATAAAGAGTATTTTAGTCTTTTAAGATTTAAGCAGACTTAGTACTTCTATATATCATGTGATTGACAACTCAAACATTTTAATGTCTCTACGCGTAACTTTTATAAATTCAAAATGTTGCCATAAATAAAAGGCGAATACAGAACATGGGCAGGAAGCAAAACCAGATCACAAATGATCACTCCAAGTGTGAACATCAATGAATATCAGGTGGATTAGAAACATCTGTATGAATCAAAACACAAGTCACAAGGTTTAAAATGGGCCCTTCCATGTGGTTGAGATGGATTTCAGGGCAAATAGCTAAGAGGGTTTGAAAGGGCGTAAGGTTTGACATTGTAGGGCTGGCGGTGGTCTGGTCCTGCACAGAGCAAGTGGTTAAAGTTGACGCCTCTCCATAACTTGTCTTTTGATCTTGCTAGTAAAGTCTGAAGGATGGACAAGAGGTCCCCTCCTCCCCTGTTTAAGGGCTCGGGTGGCCTGGCCACTGCCCGTCGTAAACTACAACCCACCAGAGAGAAAAACCAGAGCTCTCTGTGTATGTGTTTCTGTGTGAATTATGTACCTGCCTGTTTACACATTTAAACTCTATGTGTGCAAGTATATACATGTCTGCGTGTGTGCACAGTGTGTGTCTGTGTGCACAAATCTGTGTTTCTATGTATCCTTGGAAACTCCGTGTGGAGGATGGAAATCAAATCTAACTTTTTATAGGTTTGGAGTGGGAGCAAGTTGTCCGAGCAACTTTGAGTCCTCTCCCCATTTATTTCAGCATTGGTGTCGGGGAGTGTTGGACTAGACTAAACAGACGGACCCTAACAAAACAGTACAAGATAAACACTGGTGACTGGGGCTAAAATAACACACAGCAGCCCCTTCCGCTGTTCGGATCTGTCCTCTCTGAGATGGACCACACATAAAAACCAGGAAATAAAGGGTAGAGAACACACGATTACTAAAAGTATGTGGTTTCAGCCTCTCTTTAGAGGTGACCCATTTGTAATTCAATCCAAATCAGCGAGGTAATACACCTATTAAAAGTATATACATTTGTTTATTTCAACACTCACTATGATGCCGGCGGTCCACGGGTTGAGCAGGAAGAGGGCACAGACGAGGAAGGTACAGGCGAGCACGACACTGATGCACAGCAGGAGCCAGTGGCGCAGACTAACATACTGTTCCCAGAACAGGAAAGGGTAGCCGTTGGGGTAGGAGGGTAGGCCCTGTCGACTGAAGTTGCTGCAGATAGCCCGCACGCTCTCAATGGCCTCCACAAACTGTGGAGTCTCCCGAAGCCCGTTGAGGTAGAAGGGAAACTGTGCATATTCGATGGGCTCAGCAGCTGGGACTGGGTGGGAAGACAATGAGAGGAAGGTCATTTTTTGCAAGTAAAAAAGTAGCAGAGCTTGATCTATATTTAACGCCATGCATGAATTGATGATAGTCACTTTATAAAAGTGATCAGATAAACCAACAATTCCAAAATGACAGATATTATCTATTCTGATTAACTAGCATTAAGCTCTGACCATTTTGGGTATCTTCAGAAATGAATGTAGACGCTTCAGCCAAACTCACAATATCAAGGCTTTCCCCTCCCTAATCCAACCTTATTCCAAGAGCAGCTACATCTGTGGAAGAGTGTGTGTGTGTGTGTGTGTGTGTGTGTGTGTGTGTGTGTGTGTGTGTGTGTGTGTGTGTGTGTGTGTGTGTGGCAGGGGTGGGCGGAGCAGTGTGAAACAGAGCTCCATTGACTCAAATCCAGCCAGTCTGTGGCCCAGTCTGGCTAATGAGGGCCTATCAGTTCCAGACACAGCAGCGTGTCAGAGCTAACGTTGATTCACGGTAATTACAATGTCAGAATCACCACCATTACCACACCCTAAACTTAGTGCTGCCACATAAAGCATAATACAGATGCATACACATGCATACCTGTCTGTCACTCCGCTATGTAGTCATATTTGGTGCTGTCAAAACAGTGTGTTAATTCAGATTTTAGCTTGCAGTATAATTAACAACACATTGCTGCATAAGGCAGATCAAAAATATTAACTCTGCAACTCCAACTATCTCCACCTTTTTATTGTAAAAATACCTTTTTGTGGACCGTGTTATGTTGGTGGGATTCTGTATATTCCACAGTGCCTGCAGGGTCAAACAGGAGCACTTGGTTTGGCCCATTATAATCTCAACTATACATTTCCATTAGGACAGCAGTTGGCTTTTGGCCAACACAGATCTGCTTTCGGGGGATTCCACACAGCCAACCCTTCACGCTGCTTATCCAATCATATGCACCCCCCGTAAAGGTCTTCCTGCTTGTTATCCAATTGTGCTTGCCACCCGAACCAAGTCTCTCCTTGTTATCCAATCATTTCCCTCCCTGTGGAGAACTTCATGACTTGAACAAAATCACAGGCTAGAATCAAACAACAACATGACTATACTTTGTTATTTGAGTTACACTCTGTATGTGTGGTAGGGACTTGATAACAGGGTGTGTGTAGTGTTAGGGGTCACTGAGTTTTAATAATGTTCAGTGTGTGTGTGTGTGTGTGTGTGTGTGTGTGTGTGTGTGTGTGTGTGTGTGTGTGTGTGTGTGTGTGTGTGTGTGTGTGTGTGTGTGTGTGTGTGTGTGTGTGTGTGTAAGTCTAGGGCCCCATGGTAGCCAGGATTATAACATTCACCACAGGCAGCATTAGAAAAACCACAGTGAGTTGTGTCTTGGTCCTGTGCGTTGTTACAACCTGAGCTCACACATACACTAACACACACCGCAGTGGTACGGTAAAGTAAACTACCTTACATGTAGTAGAAGCCTTATGGAACTCCAAAAAAAGCCCAGACAAATTAACCCCAAAAACAATTGAGCGTAACATTTCAGTAAATGCAATTTGTTAAACTATGGTGTACCATGTATTAACCTTATCAGTTCAAATTAGCTTCATTGGGTTAAGCAAACATTATCATTGACAATTCGATTCTTCGGTCAAATAACTTTATTACATTACAGTATAAGGCTTCCTGTTTTGATTTCCTGCATGATCTGCGAACATGCTGACTTACTGCTGAGGCGTGTCTCGGGCATGATGTCGGTCCGGTCACGCAGCCACTCTGGAGGGTGTGGGCGAATGTTGGCCTGCGAGGCGGCGTATGCCACAGGATCATTGCTGACCCAAGCAGTAAGGTAGATGTAGAATGCCCCGGGGTTGATGATCCCATCTGCATCTACAAGCCTGTGACGAGTCAGCTACAACACCCAAAAGGAGACAAATTAATGATAGTACTCTAATGTAGAAAAGAAGGTTCTATTCTGCTGTATTCTTTAAAATACCAGGACTTGCACACATCTTATTTAAATTAGATCCTTCACAATACATAGGACTAAGCCGCATTTGAAAATGGAATAAATATCAAATGCAAAAAGTACATTTAAGGTCAAATATTAGGTGGAGCTTGCAAAGAAAATCATATTGCGGCGGCGAAGTGTACATTGGAAAGGAAAAGGTATTGTGGAAATAGGACATGTTTAACCAAACATTCTACAGGTGAGCTGACCACAGAAATGCTTACTTATACACATGCATGAGTGCAAGAGAACGGAGCAGCTTTCAAAATAAGAGTCAAATATTAGTTTCTCTCTCTTTCCAACCAAAGAAAAATCAACAAGTCAAACACTGGTCGCCTTTCTGAAAATTCCCGTACTTCTCATCACCGCTTCCCAGAATTATCATGCCACATTAAAACATGGAAAATGTTGAATCAGCTTCTCCCTTTACATACACAAGATATTGACTGGCCAACCTCAGGCCAAATGTCCTGACCACTCTTGAATACATTTCTAAAGGAAGCCTTGCTGAACTTCTCTGTAAAGAAGAAGGTGTCGGAGATGAATGTAGTACCAAGTCTTTATTGTAAAAGTGGGAAATGTATCAGTCTAAAGTCTAATGTGGCATGTGACTTTGGTGATCCCCTGACTGCTCCTCTAGGAATGTACGCGTGTTGCCCAAAGGGTGAATTTTAACAATAACCTCACAGAGCTTCTAACAGAGCTGTAGATATTGTTTAAATTCACTATAACGTCAAATTATTATAACATTAGTAACAAGGTAATTTTTCCAGACTATATCAATATGCTAGTTAATCTCAAAACCAAAGCTGGGTAGTCAAACACAATGAATCTGTCTGGTTGCAGATTGTTCCCAAGCGTTTTTAGTCGGTGTCATTTGCTGTGACGGCTATGGTCAGTAGGAAGGCAAGAATGGCTGTCTTGCTCAAGGGCCATTACTTTTCGCCCTCCCATGTGGAACCAGAGGAGTTTAGCCTAGCTTTGCTACCTCCTGAGCGGTAAAACCATTACTACACACCGCTCTGCCACTCTCCCTTCTAGGAACCATAAATCTTTCCTTCACTGAGGCAGGGAGAGTTTTGGGGTTAAAACTGGACTCAAGGGGTTAGGTGGATGAAGAGAAGACTAGGGTTTATTTTTTTGATGGAAAATTGCTTGAGTTGAGGCTAGCGTAACAATAAAGAAATTGGCTGGAGTCCCTGAGCGCGTCTGTGTGCAGTTAACCTGGTTGTTAACACTGAAGGAAATGCCACCCGGCAAATGGAGTAGAGCTATAAAAACAACACAACATCTGTACAAATGTTGCTCACACTTGCTTCTCCTGACCCCTACGGGTACCCAGAATGCCCGGCACCACAGACAAACCAGTCCCTGAGAAAAAAAGAGCTCATGACAGCGTTAGCATGGCCTTCCTGGGAACTTTCAAGAAACGTTCCACCTCCTCCTTCTCCACATACCCAACCCCTTCTGTATCCAGAGTTTATCTGTATATACACGCACACATACACACACACACACAACCAGCTACCATAGGACTCCCAAGCAAGGTCATAAGGAACGAATGGTCGCCCAGCACAGAGGGAAATGTTAGCAGCAGCAGATCAAAGCCAGAACACCTCTGTCTCCACGATCCGTGGAGTGGCATATCAAAATAAAACATCTAGCTTTGCAATTTGCCAGGGTTGGAAAAGGTCTGGTCCTCATTTTAAGACATGGAAAACAGCTACTGCTGTAAGTGCACGCACAACAGACAAAAGCAGAACACACACTGAAAACATACAAACTCACACACAGAGCTGCCTCAAAGAAACCACGTGTTTCAGCTCCCCTCATTGAAAGAGGACACAGCAGTGGAGCACAGAGGGTGGAAAAGGGAGGGAGGAAGGGACAGAGAGAGAGAGAGAGAGCAAGACTGGTAGTGCGAGCAGGAGTTGGTGAAGGAGAGTTGGAGAGAGAGAAGGGCAAGAAAGAGAGCCAGATTCCAGAGGATCTGGATTGAATTTAACAGCGGGATACGCAACAACTGTATGTCTTCAAGCTGTCACGGGAAGCTCAGGCAGCTCTGCGGGCGGCCCCACGCCTCACGGCAAATACACTTCCCTCACAGGCACAGGAAGTGATGTCACAGGGCCGCACACCAAACCTGCCACTGCTCCCTGCCAGCTAGTGGAAGGGATGCTAAAAGCCTTTTGCTGCTGCATTAGAGCTCAATGGATAAGAGAAAAGGCCAAACACAAACAGAGAAGAGTAGAGGGGGGAACGTTTTCAGTAGACATGCAACGCAAATCATATATATCATTGAACACTAGACACAGGGGTGCTATAAGTCAAAGTTAATTATCTTTAAGAACAATTATCTGAGTGTTGAAAAGGACTTGTTTTGGGTTTGGAGTTTTTAGAAAGCCAGGCCAAGAATTTTCGTTTTTTTATTACTCCAGTTTCTTATCTTCTGTTTACACTTATTCATGCCAAAGAATGCAGCCATGCATTATTTATGTTTTTTTTTTGAGGTGGCACTAAACTAAAAACAGTGTGTAATGCCCTGTTGGAACCAAGCAAGTTTTAACTGGAACTCTTTCTGAGACGTTGGCTGCTCTAGCTTGATTTGTGTCATTGTTGGATATACAGTATCAAACAACCCACTGGAGACAGAGCTCACTTCAACAGCTGAACTGGAGTTTGTCAGATGATTAAGCTAACTACTCTGTTGTATGATTGCATTTACAGCAGTGGGTACAGTAGTAGTGATGGAATCTGGAGGCTTTTCTACCTAAAAAGTAGCTGCATTAAAACACTGGACAGCAAAAGTGTTGTGAAGGCAACTGCTTGAACTTTCTCAGGCAGTATTTTAGAGGGGCCTGATGTTCAAATGCAACAAATTAGCATTTCTCTTTAGCAAAACTAAACATTTCAACTTATTTAGCCAACTAACTCACTTTATAAATTCAAAAAATTTGCCAAAAGATATGTAAATGTTGCAAAATGTTTCATATATTTTAGAAGTTAACTTCAGTTTATTTTGACCATTCAAACTTCATTCATGACAGAATCACAATTGGGGCATGAATGAGTTTGTCTGTTTTGCATTGGTTTATTTTAGCTATCCAACCACTCATACTATGAACTGTGTCTGGGATCACTAACAACGCTAAGGGAAGACATCAAACTGTCAAGATCCTGCACAAGCACAGACACACACACACAGTTCTAGCAAGTGGGACAAATGGTTTAAATTAAGAGTTAATAGGTTTTTCAGAGGCAGGTTGCAGCCCCAGTGAGAGCTTTAAATTCCTGGGCTTGGTAAAGTCATCACGGAGAAAAGATGGAGACAGAAACAGAGAGAAAAAGAAAGAGAAAAGTCAGATAAAGAGAGCGGCGTTTTTTAAAGCCGGGTGTGGCTCTTCCAGCCCCATTCACACATAAATATGCATAAACATACAGTGTCTCTTAAGTCTATCCCTAGATGCATACCAGGTTGAAGTTAATGGGCTTTTCCCTGCGTCCTGTCTGCACCAACAGCTTGTACGCCAGGACGCCATCATCAGAGCCATTCCTGTAGTTGTTTTGGGTGATGCGCCCGGCCTCCCAGTCCCTATCAAACGCCTGCTGGAGTCCTGCAGGAAACCACAACAAGACAGATTGGTTAGGTGTGGATGTTTGAAAAGGTTAAATGCCCTGTTATCTTCATTCCTTCTCTGCAAAACACTCATAAAGCCGAGTTCAAAAGAAAACCAAACGCATAGCAACCCAAAACAGTACAAGACAATATAACACAACACTGCAACCTAACCTTGACCCTATAATAAGGCTGATTGATTTAATATGATAATTCGGCTCCATTCTCAACCACCAAACAAGACTTCAAAAGCCTAAGATTGGCTGCTTTTGATTCAAAGTCATCATTAGGAATTATATCAGTAACATATGTCTCCTTTTCTATACTACTTCTCTAATCCATATGTGTATCACTCCCCTCCTCTCAGTTCTCCCCAAAGGCCCATGCTGTGGTCCGTCTGTGGGAGATGTTGTTTTGGGTCTCGTTCCTTGGCCTGTCTGGCTCCAATTTGTCCCACCATTGCAGAGAGCAATATCAGACACAGTTCTGTCTCTCTCACCCACACACTCTCTGTGTGGTTCCCAGCCGCCTCACACACAGATTAACACAATGTGTTTTATCGTTACAGGCAAGTCAGCACATCCTTTCTAATAATGAACCCATTTGAGAATTTGGGTGGACATGTGTAAGATAATATTCTTATTCAGTGGCACTTTACAATTCTTAGGAGCTATCAGTGGCGACAATGCAACAAACAAACCAGCAAAAACTGAATCTTGTCATCATAGTTATATGCCAAATATTACAAATGAATTTGAACGAAAAATGACAGAAACTAGCAGAAGCAGTACTAATCTCAGTTGGAACTTCCTTCTCTATCTACCCCACTTAAGGATGACACAAGTAATTTTAATCAGACTACTTCCAGTGTCCATTCTGCAATCCCCTACTTCTGAAACCCTGCCCAACATCTTGTTTCAGGCAGATTCATGTCAAAACAGAAGAAAAAAGATGATCTCAAAACTGTTTCATGAGAACGTAAATGATTACCATGCCTGAATTATCATGAATAGTGATATAAAATAAAGAATTAATAACAGTGACATTAGTATTAGGGTTAAGTGATCTAACACGGACTCTGCTAATTTGAACACAAGGATAATTTTTCTCTTAGTGGGACCCAATCCACTTTTGGTGTAGTTTAGGTGGTAACAAGATATCGAGCTTAATTTTACCTTGAAGCCATTCCCTGAAATAGTGAAGCCACATGTGAGGCAGCTCTCCGTTGTCCTCCTTCAGCACGTAGCGAACAGTGTGGAACCTCTGGTGGAGCTGGTGCAGCAGACGCTGCTTCTTGGGGTATTCCGCCTGCTGTGTCACCACATACATGTTGTAGAAGGAGAAGAACTTGAACTGGGCACCGATGAAGTCATACTCGCTGGTCTCTCTCGGCACAATGTCTGTCAACTCCAGGCCATCCTTCACCTGGGTGGTCCCGTACAGACTGACTACCAGCAGGCAGAGGAACAGCACAATCACAACCACCTGGAAACAGGAGGAAAAGGATGGAGATCATCAATCAAATCACTGCGCGGAGTAAAGGCTGGACAGCTTAAGCTTGAACTAATTACTTCTGAAAACCATAATTCATATTGTGAATGAGTGAAGAAGAGAAAATGAGGACAAAGTGCAAAATCTGAGGTGCTAGTTAGCAGCACGTTCCACACAATTCAAAAGAGGAATTGATAAGAAATAAAGCCGAATGTACATATAAAAGAGCACAAATCAAGGCACTTGGTTTAAATTAACTTATACATTGGGTGTATGTCTCTGACATGGCAAGAAACACAAGCAGTCAGTTTATAGTACAGATTGAAATAAAAAGCATACAAAGAAAGTCAAAATGACTATCCAAATACTATGTTGTAAACTGCCTGTTTCAACTTTGATCTATTGCATGCAAGCAAGTTCATGCAGCAAAGTTGCCATGAAGGTCAACAATAAGGTTTTAATAAACCATTACTTTCATTGAAGTCATTCAGCAATATGATGAGTATTGGATTAAGGCATCAAATGAGCAGATTAAGCCATTTAGCAATATGGACACTGTGTGATGATAGGACCAAGAGTATGTCAAGTACAAGCACCATATGATTTCTGTTCTGGCAGGCTTTGAGACTACTGGCCACCCACTAGACTGAGGTCAGTCAGTGTGTGTGTGTGTGAGCTTATGTGACTCAGATAGGACATGACCACAACGTCCACCCCCAGATGTCCTCCTACTATTCCCTCTGGTGACTAACCACCCCTTTAAAATTATAACTAAAGTGAGTCAGCACAAGCGCAGTCTTGCCTCACTCAGAAGTTTTTCCCCCATTCTTTCTATACCCCTCTTTTCTACAGAAACACAGACACTAAACGCACCTTGGTGGTTGGTTGTAGAAGGAATGGAGCATAGTGTCTCTCAGCAAAAGAGGCCAGGGTCCAGCGGGAGCAGGGGGGGTCGAGGCAGCGCAGGCCCAGAGAGCGTTCTCCGTGCTGGGACAACAGGTCCCGTGTGGAGCTGTTGTTCTCCGGGCCCTGGCCAGATGACGAGGGTGCATCGCCCTGAGGAGCTGCGCTAGCAGTTGGAGTCGTGGCAGCAGAAGGAGGTGCAGTATGATGATGGGAGAAGGGGGCAGAACCTCGAGACCCCCCATTGCCTCGGCTCCCACTGTTGTTGTTGTTGTTGTTGTTGAGATTGCCGTGGGTGCTGCTGCTGCTGCTACCGCTGGGGTTGCTGCTGTAATAGTCGTTGTTAGGGTTACTCCTCGTTGGAGCTGCGTTCATGGGCTGCACAGAGATTTGCGAACTTGGCTCAGCCGTGGTGTAGAAGGCCTGGGTCCGGGGGTCGTACTCTGTCCTGAGCTGCACCGTGGACTGCATGGTGATTTGCGTCTGCTGGGCAAAGCCATGGCTGCTGTAGGAGGGAGGGGGGCTGCTGTAGTTTGGGGGAGGCGTGTGATACGAGGGAGGAGGTGTACAATAGGATGGGGGAGGGCTGTAGTGGCTTTCATCTGCCCCATCGAGGTGTGCATGAGGCTCGATCTGAATCACCCGATTGGCAGAGGGACTGAAGAGATACAGACAGGGAAGAAGACATCCAGATCAACTGCTTTGAAAGACAATACATGGAGGGACACTCAAAAACAATACAAACTTTCAAGGTTATGCTATTCTAGATGTTCTTGATCAGACCCATGTTATTATGAATCCACTCTTCTCTCTCGCTGCCAACAGCATAAAATATAGAGCTGAGACACGACGAGGGAATTTAATAGTGTGTGTGCAGTGCACATCTGTATGATCGCCGTGCCAACAAGCATGCTCAGACTGGTAGGCAGGCAGACTGGTTAAGTATAAAAAAAGACTGTGATGAAAACACAGTCAAGACAACTTAAGAAGTAATGTGAAGATATCTCAGAGATACCTGTGTGTTAAAGCTATTCTTGGTCTGATCAGAGTCAACTTTTTATGGAAGAATAATGAGAAGAAGAGCATAGACATGAGTGTAAAAAAGTTTGTGCACACACCTGTAAAAGCAGCAGAATATGTCGAAACGTCTGTCTTCTCGTCGGTAGAGGTCCATGCTGAGGATGGCGGGGAAGATGAGCAGCACCATGGCAAAGTTAAACACTACCACCACCGCAGCCTGCAGGAAACACACAAAGGCATGTTATGGAAAAAGTAGCTTTTATCAATATTTTGAATGGGCTGTTGATGATCTTTTGTGTGTGTGAAGTGCTGAATATATACGAGTCAAATTTAATTGAAATCTCCATTCCTGTTGCATTTCCGGTCATGCACAAGTGCAGGCTTCAAACAGTGGGAAGCCTAAATATGCCTTAAAATAACACAATATCAATCAAGGCAAAAGAGTGCCTAAATACATACAATTCCTGTGTGTGTGTGTGTGTGTGTGTGTGTGTGTGTGTGTGTGTGTGTGTGTGTGTGTGTGTGTGTGTGTGTGTGTGTGTGTGTGTGTGTGTGTGTGTGTGTGTGTGTGTAATAGAAGCCAGTGCAGTGTTGTGGTTAAGTATTTGAAGGTGGTGCACTGGAGCATAGGGTGGGGGATGGGTTGGGTTAGCGTACAATCTGGATCTTGCGTCGTTGCCAGACCACTACACACAGACACACACTCAGACACACACACTCAGACACACACACAGCCAGACCACCCGAGGAGCCAGAGGCCCGCGGGGCCTGAGGTGATGAGCAGGCGCTGCGGCTGTACAGACAACACACACCCTTAACACACTCACACCAAAAAATGCACATACACACATGTATCTACTGCAATGTTAAAAACCTGTGCAGCCTCCTACTTTAACCACACCTTACACCAACCCACACACACACACACACATCCCTGCCCCCCCTCATTCCTTAACTCAAGATTCAGTCAACAATAAGGTAGGAGAACACGAGACACAAAGCCTCTGGAAGTAGAGTAGAACAATGAATTCTCCTTTGAACCACTAACGTCCAGAAACACACACACACACACACCTAGCTGACCGCAGGGAATGGAGAGATTTATCATAACATCTGTCCTCGGTGCATGAATGTGTATTTTAGTGTTATCTGGATGAAGATCATGTGTTTTTGTTCATACTGATGAAAGTAAGAACATGTCAAAAAGAACAGACGAAAGAGCGAGACATTCATCTATGGAGGAGTCGATCACAGGAAGTGCTTAAGAGATGGAGTACTCGAGTCCTGGACTCGGACTCGAGTGCCGATTTTCGGGACTCGTGACTCGACTCGCGCACTGATTGACGCGACTCGGACTCGTACGATGACTCGGACTCGACTTGTACATTGACGCTCCGACTTGGACTCGAGCAAGTTTTCTCTGGAGTCTGATGTCCTCTATCCTGGCATGTGTGCACCTGTGAGGCGAGTTCACGTACTGGGCCCCGCTATTCCAGTCTAGAGATGTCTAGAGCGGTGGTTCCCAACCTGGGGGGCGCCAAAGATCGCAGGGGGGGCGCCAAAGATCGCAGGGGGGGGCGCCAGGCCTCAGATGATTTGAGGCCAAATATCATATTTAGACTTTTTTTTTTACATATAATTGTAAGGCAATACATGATTGTCACTAAAAGACTTGTCTCTACATTACAATAAAATATAAAAAATAGTTGATTAAAAAATGTTAATAAAAATTCAAGTTAGAAGCTATTAAAGGCATAAAAAGACAGAAATGTATAATTCTTTCTATAGAAATGTTTCTTCTGCCCGTAAAGTTTGCAAACCGGGCTTGTTTGGATAAGCGCATTTTTAAAACAGTCATTGTCCATGCCGGTTTCAGTTTTTTATTTGTCACAGTTGCTCCGATCAGATCGGTCTCTTCCATTTAGTAGATATTTACGACTTTTGAATCCACATAAACACATCGGCAAAATCCGGCTTACTTTGAACATGTGTTTTAAACAGTTTAATCCCTTTGTGAATTGTTTCCACTTCCGCGCCGTCCTTTAATTTCTTCATAGCGGGAATCCAAATGAATTCATCCTGAGTCCAATAACCATCAAAGTCACTCCAATAGTGCTCCTTAATTACGCTTTCATCCTCCTTTAACAAAATACTTCACATTCATCCAGTTTGTGACAGAGGTTGTAGCATTTTTGAGACTTTTAAACTTAAATTACCGCTGTTGCGCCCCCCCCCCCCCCTATATGTGTGGGGGGGGGGGGCGCAACTTCCAACAGGAGTCATTTGGATGGGGGCTCTTGGGGAAAAAGGTTGGGAACCCCTGGTCTAGAGACACACCCCGCATCGTGCTGTATGCTTTCACACATTCTGCTTCCACATTGGAAAAGAGCAGCGCAAAATGCTTGTTATGTGGAAACAATATTGAAGAGAAGGCTCCATAACACATTACTCTAAGGATCGAGTTCAGACATATAGGCTGTTTTGAACACTATCATCAGAGTACCAGTAACGTGATCTAACAATAAATAAAGATTCAGCCATAACACGAAAGCACATGGCTACTTAACATGCAGAATGACGTCATTTTGCATGCTAAGTAGCCATGTGCTTTCTGGCTCAATCTTTATCGGTAAACCGATTTAACCGGTAAAAGTTCCTTCAAAATAAGAGTCCCGATCTTATTATTATCAAAATAAAAGTGCAAAACGAAAACTTTACCATAGGAAAATATTGGCATACAAATGTAACTCATTTTAAAAGGTCATTTACAATAATAATAATATTAGTAATAAGCTTTATATTTGTATAGCACCTATTACAAGAATTGTAGCCAAACTCGCTTCACAGCAGTTCAATAGACAGATTAGTATAACATGACAGGATGAAAGCAATGTAGAGGAGCAGCTACATTTCAACACATATATCCACGAAGATTAATACATGAAGACTTGTGACTCAGACTTGACTTGGACTCTTCTTAGGTGACTCGGACTCGAACACAGATAATGATGACTCGGACTCGACTCGGACACTCCTTGGGTGACTCGGACTTGGACTCGGACTCGAACACAGGTAAAGATGACTCAGACTCGACTCGGACACTCCTTGGGTGACTCGGACTTGGACTCGGACTCGACTACGACTCTCCCTTGGTGACTCGGACTTGGACTCGGACTCGAAGAGTGGGAACTCGAGAGTGACTTGAACTCGTGAATTGGTGACTTGACTACAACACTGCTTAATACTGATAAAGAGACACATGCACATACTAACACACATTTTATCAAGGCTGAGAGATGAGTAGTACTGATTACGGGTGTGTGTGTGTGTGTGTGTGTGTGTGTGTGTGTGTGTGTGTGTGTGTGTGTGTGTGTGTGTGTGTGTGTGTGTGTGTGTGTGTGTGTGTGCGTGTTCCATAACAAAGATACGTATCAGCATACATGTCTGCATCACTGCAAGCTCTCAACCAGTCACAAAACCACAAGTGTAAAGTATGCATACTATGTGCATTTGTGTGTGTGTTATGTATGTATGTGTGCCTGTTTCCAAGTGTGTGTATTTGAGTGCATAACGAGGCTGCATGGATTAGAGCCATGGGGTAAATGGATCATGTTTGACCGACTCGCTGTACTAAAGCCATCCATCCACACATGCTAATATTGTACTCACTGTGGGGACATCTTGCCTCACACTGTGTGAGCATGGGTATGTTGGCTTGTGTGTGTGAATGTATGTCAAAGTGGGAAGCCAGGGGTATGAATGTACACTGAAAATAAAGGCATATATGAAACCAATAACACCTTTCATATTAACACTTCTCAAAACATTTTGAAATTGTCTTTTGAATTAGTTCTTTGTGAGTGTTTGTTTGACCAATATGTTTTATAAAGATTGATTTTCCACTTCTGGTAGTTGACAAAATATTTTTGCAAGCTTTTAATGTTTACCCTGTAAGGTAATTACAACTACACAATTAACTAATTATATGTAAATATTTAGCCTAAAAACCTTTCTATAGTCCACCACTACCCCCAATAAATTGAAACTACTTAACACCCACTTTATCTTTACTTTACTTAGGTTGCAGCAACTAATTATTAGACTGCCTTACACCACATACTGTGCAAAGGCCAAGAAGGGAGGCAGACATTTGTTTTAATCTGAAATAAAACACAAAAGATTTTTAAAAAACGAATTGGACTGAAACAAATTAGTATAATCAGAAATGTTCTTAAATTGGATAACAAATAATTCATTTATATATTGGGCAATGGCCCAATATAATAAGTCTAACATTGAATCTATCACCAAGCTGATATTTCTGTCAAACCCGTTTCGGCAAACTTATTTGTTTATATTCTGTTTTTAAAATCTATCATATATTTTCCGTCTAGTTCTCATGCAGCTGGAAAGACTCAGCCTTAATATAGGCATCTTCAAATGTTTTTACTGTTATTGCGTTCTCTTTACAGTATGTATCTCTGTGATTGAGTGAGTGTTTGTATTCATTTGGTGATTATTGGAGGCATTTTGTCAGACTGACAGACATCTCTTTCTGTCCCTGTTTTTACTGTTCTGGTGACGTCTATAATGACTGACAGATGTTAGAAAAGTCTAAGCTCCCCTCTGGACTCCCCCCCACCTTTACACACACAGACACACACACAATTGCTTTACAAACCTCCCACACAGATACTACAACTCACCCCCCTCACACATGCACATGTGCGTGAGGATATGCAAGTACACACACAAACATGCAGTGGTATTCACTGGACCCCAGCCACAATCTCGACAGACACCGGGCCCACCACTAAACAGCCTCAAAGAGGGAGAGGGCTATATGGATTTATCAAAACACACACTATGCCTCAAACACACATAAATACACAGCCTTTCAGTTTGATGAAATAAATCAATAAAACAACTGTCTGGAGAAATCTGGAGCCAATGAGGACTGGAACAACAATGTTAGTGAGAGAGGGGCCCCTCACGACTTAACTCTCTAACACACACACAAAAACACACACGAAATATCGTATATACCTGTAGAGAGAAGGCTCTGAGCGCTGGGATGGGGATGAGGGCTGCCATGAAGAAAGCGGTGACGTTGCTGATGGAGGTGAGAGCCACGCTGGCCCCTGTCCTCTTCAGACACTCCCCTGTACGATCCTGACAGATAGGAGGGAGAGATGACAGGAAAGGCCATGATAGCCAAAGGCAAACGTGTAATACTTGAGATTATTTCAATTATCATAACACCGATATGACTGACAGTGATTGCAATGTTTCTTTAAGCCCTGAAGTGCTCTTAAATAATCCACCTGGGCACGTCTACTTCTGTTTGAAGACTTAAGGAAATAAATACATTATCATTGTAATCATGACTGATGATGATTGACTTTACTCTTTGCTTTTTTTATATATATTTAGTGATAAGCATGCACACCCCTTTAAGGTTTGGCAGCATTAGTGTTAAGACTTAAGGATGTGCACCACGACCACACAGGGAGTGCTTGTAGGTGTGTGTGTTTCTGTGTGTGTGTGTGTGTGTGTGTGTGTGTGTGTGTGTGTGTGTGTGTGTGTGTGTGTGTGTGTGTGTGTGTGTGTGTGTGTGTGTGTGTGTGTGTGTGTGTGTATTAGACAGGACAGATCAGGTTCAGCTCTGTTTAGTTTTTTATCTTAACAACACAAAGGAAGTTGAGGGATGCAGGAGGCATAGTGACAAGGGCTAGAAGGGGAGAGTAACAGTCAGGGGGAAACAAAAACAAGCAAATACTTGCCTGTGTTTTCCCCTTTCTGGAGATAAAGTTATTCCGTTCCAAAAAAAAAAAAAACCACACACAGGCACATACCCAGATGAGGTTGCAGATACCTACTCTATTTACCCTTTTGAAAAAGCAGGTTTCTGCCAGTGTTTAACTGTATATGCCTTGATCTACTTGTGAGAAACACTTTTGATTTATGATTTAATTTAGCCTTCTTTGGTCGCTTTTCATTAATCAAAAAAGGGAAATATTTAATATTGAGCATTTCTTAGATAAGCGGACTGAGTGTGTGGCACAGGTTGTTTGATCTTACATCACAGGCACAGACACGCTTTCACACATTCTTCTATTTTGGAGATAAGACAGCAGAGGGGGTAAGGAACAGTTTGGATGTTCGCCTCACCTCGAATGGGATCCTCTTGTTCTGTCCGGTCTCACTGAAGGCATGAGCGAGGAGGAAAACATCGTCCACTCCAACACCGAGAGCCAGGAACGGTAGCACCTGTAGCACACACAGACAATTCATGAGCTCCAAAAGCCAAATAAAGGACTACATCCAGTGTGGAATGTTTTTAGTTTCTAGTCAACAAACCGTTACATGTTGTAAGTATTACCCTACTAATGTTACTAATATAATCACGGGATGTCAAATGACACTGATAAACATTTGAACTCATTGTGTTAATCATGACAAAAAACATCGGCACGTGCCAGTGGTATGTGTGTGAGTTACCTGTGTGGTGGCAGCATTGAAGGAAATGCCCAGGAGAGAACAGAGGCCCAGGCCAGCTGCCACTGATAGTGTCACCAGCAAGACCCCCGCCAGCCCAACAGCCCCCTGAGACTTGGCACAGTCCCACCGTAGCATGGTAAGGCACGCATAGGCCAGCTGGGACATACACCAAACAAGAAATCAAAGATTAAGTCAACTTATCACAAGGTTAATCATCAAACATCTACCCTTCTTTTATAACTTGTGTCTTCCTCAATCTAAGCCTACATATTAGCTGCTCAAAGCTTTTTACAAAATTCATTATCCAAATAGAAAGTGTATTTGAAAATGTATTATGTATTTTCTATGGCTCTGTTCTCACCATAAGCAGATATCCACTGGCCACACGGATGACGCTGATGTCCGAGAAAGACTTGAGAATATCTTCAAGAGTGGTGGAGGTGAAAGACAAGACCTTCTGAGACGAATTTGCTGCAACACTCTGCAGCACCGCCTACAAAGAGAGAGGAAAACAGAGATAGAGATAGAATAATTACTGAAGAGAAGGTTTAAAATAAATAGTCATGCATTGATGGAGATATAAGCAATAATTAAACAAACTTCCAAGGCAATATAAGACATTTTGTATAATATGAAACAACAAACTGGAGGTTGAATTACGCACAGTGCAGCGGCAGCTCTACAAATGCTCACAGTCAGGTTAAAAGATAATCAGCCAAAGTTCTTAGATGGGAAAATATTGTGTTCACCTTTTACTTTTTCTAGTTTTTTTAATTAAGAAAATCAGTGCCGGTCTTTGCAGAACCATGTTTAATAAAATGTTCCCTCTCTTTCTGAAATGGCCCTTCTTAATATAACCTAAATGGGGATAGCTGACTAATTTAGAGAAAAAAATGCACCTTAGCACTTTTCATACAATTAAACCAAAACCAGCAACAATAAATACAACTAAATCAATTGAAAAGGTAAGATATGAGATAAAAAAAAAAGTACAACTAAACACACTAACAAACCCAGACATAAATAGGAACGGATCAAAACGTTGCAAAACTTGAAAGCGCATTGGAAGCAATTCGCAGTATTTCGCAATAGCAGAAATAGAGCTGTGTATAGACAAACAATTAATAATACCTGCACTGTATAAGGACCTGTTTTTGGTATAGAATAAGTAAATATCACTCAAAATCACATAGCAGCCCTAAATATCAAGCTCTGCCTCTGTTGTAGGAAGCATTTGGAAGAATCTGCAGACAGTACCATGACCCATCCTCTCCCGCTCATTGTCTCAGGGCAGATAGATGGCTTCAACACTGAACTGCAATTACTGCTCAGTGGGGAGCTATGCTGGCTGACACACATTAGGAAACACGCACTAGATCACACACACTTTTGCACCCATGTGTGAATTTGCACATGCACATACTATCCTAACAGACACGCCTAACCATAGAGTAATACACAGTGCAAACACATTAACACAAACTCATAGACATAGTAAGACTATTTGGCATCTTTTATTTCTTCGATGACTATAAAAAACACTGAGTTCTGATAAACAATCACACCTCTATCCATCAGTGGTATCTGGGCCCCAAGATAAATGGCGCACACACACAGATACACACACACAAGGTCACACCATGTCGAACAGAGGTTGGGGCCCCCAAAACAAAGACCAGATGATGTCACACATGAGCCACCAATGGGGCCACAGCTGGGCAAGAGATTGTGTATGCACTTTTGAGTGTGTTTGCATGTGTGATGGTACATGAGTTAAAGAGTTAGAGAGCAAGAGCGCGGGAGAGAAGGAGAGAAAGATATTCAGCCCTCCCTTAATGTATTCCAGACATGCTCACCCTGCTCTATTGCTCCTCTCTACTGAGCAGTGAGAGGAAAGCTATAGGCCTATACCACACACCAACAGTGATTCTAGTATCTATCAGGGGCCCTGGCTTTGGATGGGACCTTTCCATGTTCACCTGTATCCGGTCTCAGATTTACAATGTGGTTGTAGAGGATTTAGGGTAGATTTATTTTCCCTTTTATGGATGTGTCTCTCTCTAGTTTCTGAGTGCTTTGGTCCCTTACCTCAGAGTATTTCCTCTGCCAGGCTTCCAGTATAGCTGCAGCCTTTTCTTCATTCCAGTTGATGTGGGAAACCTCCTCATAGCCACGAAAGTGCTCAAACATCTGCTTGGGAGTCATCAGCTGGAACATGGTCTGTAGGGCTTGGGCACTGGAAAGGAGGGAAGGAGGGAGGGTGACAGAGGGAGAGGGAGGAAAAAGATGGAAGGGATAAAAAAGGAAGGTCAAAAATACGGAGGTAATGAGGTGCAAGCTTTGACTGACAACATAATGTTTACAAGGGAAGATCAGAAGGTGATAAACTGGCTTATGGATTGTGCTTTTCACATAACATTTTTCCAGAGCGCAAAGAAACATATTTTAATGTTTGCTTTAAACAACCACTTATCCATTTATACAACAAAAAATAAACCACTTGGCATTATATAATGCACCTAGTCTCTTGGGCTTGCGTGTCCATCTTTATTCATCTGATAAAACAATACTTTTTTAATAACAATCACTATCCTAAGAACAGAACCGCCACAAAACCACTGTTCATTTCATTTCGGACAGATTTTGAAACAAAAACATATAAAAAATAAATAAAAATGTTAAACAGTGTAACGGAGGTGATCTCTGGGGCCATAGATCTCGGCCTCCATTACGGATAATATAGCTTCATATTTGGCGAGGTATATTGATCTGTTCTACACTAAAACATGGCACAGGAAGAATGTGAATATACATGTCATTTATGCATCTATTTGTCACGATCTGTCTATGTTATCGTTTGTCTGTCTCTGTTTCTTGTTTTATTTTGAAAAGTGTTCCCCCTCCCGTCTTGTCTGTTACTGGTGATTGTGGTCACCTGGTGCCCTGTGTTGTCTCCTCCCCCCTCACCTGTGTCTTGTTGGTTTGATTAGTCTGTGTGTATTTAGGTTCTGTTTGCTTGTTAGTGTGGGTGTGAGATCCTTATGGCTGCTGACTGTGTTCAGGTGGACAGCAATATTGAGGCTGTGAATCATGTGTCAAGGATGAATAAATGCCCACACCGGGTTGTATTTGGACGTTCTGCCTCCTTGCTTGGTCGGGCCGCTCAATTGTCAGCTTCACAAACAGAATACCGTATTGGTAGAACACAGTTTTTTTTTTTTTAATGCAAATTGTCAAACAATATTTTATATATTCAACAATATTTATATATTTAACAAAAATACATTTAACAAAATAATAATAGTGTCCAAAAGGGAGCAGGAGGAAGCAAATGCTGATTAATTCCCACCCCTCACTCAACTGCTGATAGTCCATTAAATAATACAAATTATTAGTTATATATCTAATAACTATCCAAACCGGAGGAAAAAAAAATGTTTGTACTAACCTCTCAATTGATGTGTAAAACTGAGCTTCTTCACAGAGAATAAGGCAAAAGTACCACTTTAAACATTTGTTTACTGTCTGGTCCTCTACAAGATTCTTGTTCAAACTCATTTGTAGATGGCAAAGGTATCCAGTGTAATGAGGAATGCACCATCATGGTGCATACATTAGGACAGTACTATATAAGATGTATAAGTAATTTAAAGAAACATTTGAAAACACTGAAAAAACAGAAGATGATTTCAAATTGTCAAATTTTAGAAGCCAAATGAGCTAGGATTAGCTCATGGTTCTCTTTATGAATGCGATCTCTGTATTATGTTGATAACCACAGTAATGGTGGCAGTTAGTAAACAAGATGTAGGAATTTAGTACCAGCAGTAACAGCTCAGTGGACTGAGCAACTAAACCAACCACACACACACACACACACACACACACACACACACACACACACACACACACACACACACACACACACACACACACACACACACACACACACACACACACACACACACACACACACACACACACACCACACACACACACACACACACACACACACACACACACACACACACACACACACACACACACACACACACACACACACACACACACACACACACACACACACACACACACACACACACACACACACACACACACACACACACACACACACACACACACACACACACACACACACACACACACACACACACACTAATGACCCAATCTTGCCAAGAAAAAACACAACCACCAAACAAACAACGTACCCCACTGTACTCTGGGACCAGTATGAGTGTAAATGTGTGTGGGGGTTTGCCTTTGTGTGTAAATGCATGTGCAAACTTTGCAATTTCATATTATTAAGTGGATCATTTGGATAGTTGTAAATCTCTCCTCTTGTAAAAGAAGCTTCTTATGATTGATAAAATGTGCATGCTTTTTATTCCTGTGTTTGTGGCATTGATTGACTCAATGTTATGTGTTTTGTGATGAAGGGCATACAGTGTATTGCACACATACAAATGTGTACATTAAGTATCTTTAAACGTATTCCTGGAGCTGGTGCTGGAGAGAAGTACATGTACCCAAAATTGCTGTATATTTGGACAAACTTGCCAGGCAATAGATCACACTGTGTGTGTGTGTGTGTGTGTGTGTGTGTGTGTGTGTGTGTGTGTGTGTGTGTGTGTGTGTGTGTGTGTGTGTGTGTGTGCACATGAGTGTGTACATGAGTGTGTACATGAGTCTATATGAGAGGGTAGAGTCCAAGCAGAGCACAGAGCTTAGCAGGAACAGCTGGAGCTCTAAGATTTCACTGGAATCTGCTAATGACTGCAAGATTTACAGCACACCGTGCACACGCTTGCATGCATGTGCCGTTTCCGAGAGCATAAAAGAACAAAAAACACACACTCTTTCCAGAATAAGCCCTGCAGGGATCACAGCAGTGTTTATGAGGGTGTGTATGTGTAAGTTTGGGTATGTTACCTGAGCAGGGGTCCGCTGCCGTTCTTGGTGGTCCCTCCTACGATCAGCTCCTCCTGCCAGTGCATGTACTTCCTGGATAGACCATGGCAGCCTCCACTCAGAGCCCTCGCCACATCGAATGGCTGGTGCAATAAAAGCAACAGACGAGAAAAATACCTGTCAGCAGATTGTCTCAAACCCAAGACTTTATGTTTTACCAAATATATAAATGTTGCATGTGTACACATATGTTCAGAGCCTAAAGCTTGATCCAATATGTGCGCCTACCTTGGTTGAGTTCTTATTGGGCGCAGTGAGGGGGCAGTCGGGGTCAGCAGGGTTTAAACAGGGCCTATCCATGTAGCCGTGTCCAACATCTGCCTTTTCCAACATCTCCTCAAAACCATCCACTGGGAAATTAGCCTTTCGCAAATCCTCAAGGAACTCCTTTGGGTCAAAGTTGGTCCACTGAAGAGGGTCTTTACCTCTGCAAAAGGTAAAAGTAAACAAGAATACTGTTTTATCGTAACTAAAACCATGTTTTAAGATGCTGTGTTTCTGTACCTTATTGAGCACTAGTAGTTCTTGTTAGTTAGATAGTTAGTTATTATCATCATATTGGAGACGATTAATACAACTGTAAAAATTAAGCTGGAATTGTCCTTTAAGGGCGAACACATTAGATACATCTACAAAATTGGCCAATTAGATCCGAAAAAATATTCGTTCTTGTGTTGTTGCTATCATGTGTTGGATGTGTATTTTAGGACATCAGTGTTAGAGGCTGGTGTCAGGTGTTATCGCCTCTAAATTTACCTCAGACAAAAAATAAATTAATATATTTCTTGCTAGGTGACAGAAAACAACATAAGAGACAAATTCCCATGATGCAATGGCACAGTACTGAATTCCTGCTCCAAACCAGTCCTTGTCTCTCTAAGCACATTCCAATCTCCCTTTATCTGAATCTCTCTCTCTGTGTCATTCAGACCACATTGTACGTGCTTAACCAGGCTTGGGTTATTATTCCCAGCCTCCCAACCAGAACATAGTAAAAACCTTATTTGACACACACACACACACACACACACACACACAGCTGAGTATTACTGTAGCAGCAGGCCATTAGCAACAGCAGGGGCAGACAACGGTGTGAGGCCCAGGGCTGGAGAGAAACTACCGCCAGTGATACGCATGCCAGCCAACACTACAATAGAGCCTTCAGAGGGGATGACACACACACACACACACACACACACACACACACACACACACACACACACACACACACACACACACACACACACACACACACACACACACACACACACACACACACACACACACACACACACACACACACACACACACACACACACACACACACACACACACACACACACACACACACACACCACACACACACACACACACACACACACACACACACACACACACACACACACACACACACACACACACACACACACACACACACCTTTGGTGGATGGATTGATCCTGTTTGGGCAGCTTCTACTAAAGGGGTAAAAACAAGATCTAGAGATCCAGATCTCCTCCTTTCCTGAACATGTCTGTATAATATAACCTTATACAATAATTCCATATCCATCACTCATGACATCAGTGGTCAAAGTCTTGTTGTCCCCAGACATCATTTAAATCAGTTTGCCTTACAGTAAAGAGAGCTTATGTGTTCCAAATTAGGATTCTTAGAATCGATTATTTGGCCATATTAACAGAAATTTGACCTTGAAATAAATCAGTCTGTTTTGATTGTGCTGACACATCATAAAATACAGATTTTGTTTGGTAAAAAGGACATGTTGGTACTTACGGTAGATAGACCATTCCAGACTGGAGCTTGGCTCCCTCCCAGAAACAGTCCAAAGGGGTGATGATGAGGCAGGGGTGTAGCTTTTCTATGATCTAATTGGACACACACATGGCCCACACACAGCAGGTTTCACACACATTAACAACAGGAAGTGTATACAGGAAAGACCAAACGATGGTCATGTTTCAATATATTGCAGACAGTAATACTAAGTGAATCATTTAAACCTTACCTGGTCCAAATGACTTTCTGTGACTAGTTCTCCTGATTTGTAGCACAAGTTTTCTAATTTCCATTGTCTGAAAAGGAGAACAGAAGAACATCATGAGCCCCTTAGGCTGAGCAAAGAAGAAAAATAAAACTTATTTCATCATTATGAGGAATTGCTTGAAAAAAATAGCTGAATCCAGGTACAGGTATGCTGTGTATGTCCAATATATTCTGTACAAGGACAAATATGGGCTGGAAAAGTGTCCAATTATTTGAAAGCAGTCCAATGCAATACAACAATGCCGGAAACTACAAACTGAAAGCTTCATGTATTTATTGTGGGAATACTTTATTTGATTTCATTAAATCACCCTTTGAGAAATACTTGTGTTCTAATAAAGTACATTTCGATTGTCCATAAGTGGAATATGTGATGCTTTTATGATGAAGACATACAGACATCAGGCAAAGCTTGAACACAGGTAGACATGATTGAGAAGTGAGTTACCTGTTATAAAGGTAAACATGAACTCTGCTGGCTCGGAGAGCTGACTCCAGGTGCTGTAGGAGCGCGTCCACCGTTAAAACATTTGCTCCGTCCTCCCGCGGTGTCTGGATCATCAGCTGAGGGTTAAACATGGCCTCTTCGCCTATATTCTGTCGCGTGTATGTCAGTTCCCGGTTCACACGCCCACCAACTGGAAAAAGGAGAGTGAATGTGTTTACATATGCATATTCAAACCCTTGCACAGTTTGCAGGTGGTTTGTATTTGATTAGTATACAATAGAATACAATGTTTATTACATTTAAGGCTCAACATTTACAGCTATGTATGGAATGTTACCCAAACCAAAATATATAGATCTTGTAAAAAGAGATATAAAATTATTTTAATGGTGGCCTCAAGTCCCCATTCGTCTAAAGCTTAGAATATCACTGTTTGCAGTTAACTAATTTATCTTCCATATTTCCAATGTGGACCTTGATGTAAAGACTAGTCTAGTGTCTAGGCTTCATCATTACATCCAGATCATTAACAAAAAATAATCTAATTTTTAAACTTAAAACTCTTTGTTTTTAATGTATACTTTTCTTACAAAACTGAAAATAATGAGCCCTAATCAAATTGTTTTTGCAATAATAATAATTTGATAAAAAAATGTATGTAAACAACAGTGAGACATCCTGAACACAGCGCACACACACACACACACACACACACACACACACACACACACACACACACACACACACACACACACACCCACACACACACACACACACACACACACACACACACACACACACACACACACACACACACACACACACACACACACACACACACCACACACACACACACACACACACACACACACACACACACACACACACACACACACACACACACACACACACACACACACACACACACACACACACACACACACACACACACACACACACACACACACACACACACACACACACACACACACACACACAGAGAAGAGATCTTGTGCAAATCAAACCCAAAGACATCTCAACCTTATCGCACTTGTATCTTAAACTAAATCACTTGCTTACAGTGAGCTTGTATCACTACAAAGCTAAACATCCCAATTCCTTTGAATCCAGAAGAGCAATATCACTCCAACAAATCCACATTTCACAAAAACAGCTCAATGTTTCTACTCAAATTTTAAAACAAGTCAGTAGCGCCAGAGCATGTTGACTACATATGTGTGTGACAGTATGTATGTGTTTGATGGAGAGAGAGAGAAAGAGAGGGGCTCTTTTCCAGGCTTAGCTCCCAGTATCGTGGTGGGACTAAGCCCTGTGCGTGCGCTCTGAGCTCTAAGCTAGCCCAAGCTACAAAAGCAGCCTTTCAGGCCCTTTAGTTGCCCTGCTCCACCCCAGTACAGCCAAGGCACATTTAGCAAGGTCTCTCTTCCAAACACACAAAAACTTAAGCAGGCAATTGCAGTCATGTAAGCATGGGAAGTCCATTTTTCAGCCAAGAGTTAACTTTTTATTAAAATGAAATGTTTTTGTGCATGTTTGGGACTTGATGAAGCCTTATACTTGTGTGTGTGCATCCTTCAGTTCAGTGTTTCAATGTCTGATTTACAGGCAGAGGATTTAAGCCCTTCCATCATCAGTGACTGAAGGCTCAGTGATTTATAGTCATCTTCTTTTACTTGCTCTCACACAAACACTTGCGCTCACATACACACACTCAAAATGCCTAGTGAGACGGCCGACTGTGTGAAAACTCTGCAACATTTTATTATGGCTTAATCCAATTTAACAATTCCGCTCAATTCGTGCAACAGCACGCATAGATTGAATATTTTCAACCCATTGTAATGGCATTAAAGTTGAACATAAGCATGCCTGTTCTGCTGAGCTGGACCACCCAGTCAGACCAATGGAACAGGGAGGGAGGGGGCCATGTCTTGGGGCATTAGGAAAACACACTTGATTTATTTTTTTCTGGACCCAAAACAGCATTCCCATTTGATCCTGTCTGAAAGCATGTTTATAATACTCATCACTAATAGCAGGCCTAGACTAACCAGAGCGACATGCTTTCTGCTGCTAGGCCAGCTACACGGCTAGGTTACAGCAGCCCTCTTCAAAAGAGCACGCATGGAACTGATTTAGACCTTACGCACACTGACAGTGCACTAACAAGTCGACTTGTCTGGTACACTCAACGCTCAAATGCAAAAGCTGGCCCGAGGCTTGGTTATGGTGCACCGCCAAAGGGGAAGCATGGGAACACGGGTATGGTGAAAGAGGTGCTTACTTTCTCAGTTTCTATATGTGAAAGGAGATAAGGAAAGCTCCGATTAAAATAAATGGGAGGGACGAGTTTAGAAAGTACTCATTTTTTGTTATGAACACATTCCAAGTTGTGGACTGCCACCCAAAGACCTTAAGTGTACAGCAAGCAGCGAGGAACAGGACAAGTCAAAGGAATGTACTCTCTCTACAGGAAACAGCACATCACGGCCTCTGGCTTAGAGAATTCCACACTTCACGAGGTTACAGCGTTTTGGGGTCAACACTCACACAGCCTCGGGGTGAAATTAACACCCCAGCTGGACCAAGAAAACGTGTGAGTGTGTGAGTGTGCACTGACATACTGGCGAGCGTGTGAGTGTGTGTGTACACACACAGCTGTGTTTCTTCAATGACACATATTCCCATATTCCTTCTCCTAAGAAAACTGGTTGACCTCGGCATGTGTTGATATCTTGAAGGTGTCCCGCTCCAGGCTCAGCGGCTGTGACCTAAAACAAAGTGTCACCGACTTTCAAATGCATCCCATGCTAGGTTAATGTCTCGCTCACTTATTTCTATTGCTTGTTCTTTCCCTTCTGCATCACTCACTTTGCCTTTTATCCATTCTTTTACAACGATTGGCAAATAAATTAACAGCTGCTGGAATGGCAAGTCTCTTAAGTGGTTGAACAGAAAAGCAATCAGCCACCATTTAAAATAACTGTTACTAAGAGTGACTCTGCAAGTTAACCATACATTTAAAATCTTTACTGGTCCCAGTTTTTCAGTTGATGGTTGTCTTGGTCTTCTGTGATCATTTAATAAGTGTCCAAGATTTAGACAAAAAGCAATTTAGTTATATCATCTCAAAAATCCAAAGTTAAAAACTGTTGTTATTCATATGCCCTAAACTTGTGAATTTTGACTCCTCATGTCATCACAAGCCATCTCTTAATTTACCGACATGTTCAAATGTTTAATTTCCAGCTGTGTGTGAGTTATATCTGCATATGCAGGATGTCTAGTGAATGTTCAAAAACACTAAACTAAGCCGTTATAAAAAAATATACCTCCACAGAATCAAAGTGAGAAGAGAACAGAAGAAGAAGCAGGCCCATGTCTGTCACTGTATTGGAGCGCTCAGTGCTGGTATTCAGTGTGTTGCATAACATTAACCCTTGGCCCCCCCATTATCAAAGTAGGGGAACGGGGGGCGGTAGGGACGAAGGGAGAGAAAGTAGGTTTCTAAGGAACTGACATCACCCCCCTTCCTCCTTTCAGTCCTGAACTCCCCCTCATCTTTATACTCTCATTTTCACTCTCTTTGCTCTATTCACAACTACTCTGTGATTGGCCAGATCATGATGGCAATCAGCCCAGCCCCTCTGTCAAAGCCAGCCCACCCCCTTTTCCCCTTGCCAACTTTCTCTCTTTTCCATGCAACACACAACAGCATAGACCCACCCCCTGCACATCTCCTACTCCTCACAACGGAAACATCCCTCACTTTAAGGGAAAACACACAACAAGGGCAAACAACTCCTACACCTCTTGAGTATGATGCTGGTATGAAAATACACTCTCACGCTGTGCTGCTCATACTCTACGTACAAACATTTCCCTTTCCAATAACAGAATCAGGTAATCAGCAGATCCAGAATCTGTTTGATCGATGTGTGTGTGTGTGTGTGTGTGTGTGTGCAGAGAAAGGATTAGCTGGATTAGGCCCCCTCTCAGTAGGGACCCCCTGTGGTGAGGAGGAAGCCCCCCGAAACCAGGTCATCTCTTTGCCACCAAGTTTACAGCGACCTCCCATACCCTGAGCCCCCTATACCGCTGAGGATATGCAGAGGTCTATACAGCTCTCTGCAGAACGTTGTTTTTAAACTAAAAACAACATGCTGTTAATAAATGCATGTTTTCGTGTGACCCTTCAGAAAAGGTAATTGTTGGGAACGATATGTCAACATCTCCATATACAAGATAAACTCAAACAAAGTGTTCTCATATGTAAAATCAGACACAGCTGCTTATGCTAACACTGAATTGTAAGTTACCTAAGAGGTTGAGCAATAAAAGACATATGTAGAAAAAGGCATTCCACAGATGCACTTGTGTTGTTTCATCACTCTTTTAAAACATCGTATGTGATCTTGATTGTTCCCTGCTATTGATCCATCTGTTCAGGTAGGGCTTCCTTCCTTATGCCCCCCCCCCCCCTAACGTCAACACCTCCTCTCTTCTCCTCCTTCCTGTTTGTCTCCTCCTCAGCTGCTAGTGCCAATCAACTGACAGTGTTGATCACACCTGTTGCCTTCCTCCAACGTTGGCCTTCTTCTACCTTTACCATCTGCTTCCCCTTATGTTTTCCTGCTGCATTATATTAATGCTGGGACTGAATAGTATATAACACTTTTTAAAAGACACATTTAGTTGGTTTACATAATTTTGTATAACTTGTCTTTTCCATCGAGTGACTTTCTCCTATTCTGAAATGTAATACATGCTGGATTGCATTAGTAGAAAAGCAGCAGAGAGACGTCACCATCTACATCCTCTATTCTTTGAGATGTCACTTGCACCCTCTCTATCTTTTGCAGCTGCATTATTAAGAGAACTAGCAGTAATAGTTGTGGTGGTCGTGGTAGTAGCACACACAGCTGTATACAAAGCAGTAATAGTAGTTCTGAATGTGGGTTCTGCAATGCAGGTGTGCACACAGCCACAAATATGTGATGAAAGGCCTCTCTGAGAGACGAGACCCAATCTGACCCATGCTGAGCCCCCTTCACTCTCTCGCTCCCCCTCTTTTTCTCTCTTTCCCTCTCCTTTCAGCTTACAAAGAGGAGGGGGCTGCCACACAGAAGAAGAAGAAGAAGAAGAGGAAAACATGCAAGGTAGAGAGTA